ATGTGTTTTTTGTTTTCATTTTTAGTCGAAAATGCTTTGAACATTCGCGCCAATAGAGATATGTTGATAGAAAGCAAAGTGAACCATTCGGACAATCGAATATGGCCGGTGCATTTTCTTCCTTTTCACTTTCTCTTCACTTTCTCTTCACTTTCTCTTCCCTTTCTCTTGAATTCCTCTTCACTTCCTTTTCACTTCCTTTTCACTTCCTCTTCACTTCCTCTTCACTTCCTTTTCACTTCCTCTTCACTCCCTCTTCACTTCCTCTCCACTCCCTTTTCACTTCCTCTTCACTCCCTCTTCACTTTCTCTTCACTCCCTCTTCACTTCCTCTCCACTTCCTCTTCACTCCCTCTTCACTTCCTCTTCACTTCCTCTTCACTTCATCTTCACTCCCTTTTCACTTCCTCTCCACTTCCTTTTCACTTCCTCTTCACTCCCTCTTCACTTCCTCTCCACTTCCTCTTCACTCCCTCTTCACTCCCTCTTCACTTCCTCTTCACTCCCTCTTCACTCCCTCTCCACTTCCTTTTCACTTCCTCTTCACTCCCTCTTCACTTGCTCTTTACTGCCTCTTCACTCCCTCTTCACTCGCTCTTTACTTCCTCTCCACTTCCTTTTCACTCCCTCTTCACTCCCTCTTGACTCCCTCTTCACTTCCTCTTCACTTCCTCTTCACTCCCTCTTCACTTCCTTTTCACTTCCTCTTCACTTCCTCTTCACTTCCTCTTCACTCTCTCTTCACTCCCTCTTTACTTCCTCTTCACTTCCTCTCCCCTCCCTCTCCACTTCCTTTTCACTTCCTCTTCACTCCCTCTTCACTTTCTCTTCACTTCCTCTTCACTTCCTTTTCACTTCCTCTTCACTCCCTCTTCACTCCCTCTTTACTTTCTCTTCACTTCCACTTCACTCCCTCTTCACTCCCTCTCCACTTCCTTTTCACTTCCTCTTGACTTCCTCTTGACCTCCTCTTGACTTCCTCTTCACTTCCTCTTCATTTCCTCTTCACTTCTACTTGACTTCCTCTTGACTTCCTCTTCACTTCCCTTTCACTTCCTCTTCACTTCCTCTTCATTTCCTCTTGACTTCCTCTTTACTTCCTCTTCACTTCCTCTTCACTTCTTCTTAACTTCCTCTTCACTTCCTCTTTGCTTCCTCTTCCCTTCCTCTTCACTTCCTCTTCACTTCCGGGCTTGAGTGAAGATATAAAGTTCTCCTTTTTGCTTTTCTTGTTGCCTCTACGGTTGACACATTTTGTTGTAGAGTTTCTCTGATGCTATCTTTCCATGTTGTTCTTGGTCTACCTTGTACTCTACATCATTCTTTTTTTTTTTTCGTGTGGTGTGGCGTCTGAAGGCATTCTTTCTATGTGTGCAAACCATTTGATTGAATGTCTTTGCATGTGTGCAAACCATTTGATTGAACGTCTTTGTATGTGTGCAAAACATTTTATTAAATGTATTTGTATGTGTGCAAACCATTTTATTGAATATATTTGTATGTGTGCAAACCATTTGATTGAATGTCATTGTATATATAATTTAGAAATTATTCTGTGCTAACCTGTTCTCATGTGACCTTAGTCTCTTGTGGTCACTCCTACAGACCTTCTCAGACATTTTCATTTCCAAAGTTACTAATTTTTCTTCTCTGGTTTGTTGTGTATGGACCTCGTCTGACACTGGTAGCATTTGGTTGGAATGAATATGATTTGTATGAACATGCTTTGTTCGAGATGTTTCTTTGAGCTGATTTGGGATTATCTTTGATGTCAAAGGGAAAAGCTAGTTGTCGCAAACTTTGTGATTCCTTTACGGCATCGGATGGTACTTTCTTTGTCTAATTTCCCATCTTCGGTGAATGTTGTTCCTAGATAATTAAACTTAGATGCCTGTTTATTGTCTTTGCACTCTGCAGTATTTGAACAATGTTTCTTTCTCCCTACTGACGTTTTTGAAGCCTCACCCTGGCTCTCGCCGGGGGCCGCAATATAGCCAAATATGGCCTAATGGCTGAATGCGGCTCTGGGACCTCTCCACGGTCATTCTCATCCACATCGTGGGACATTGTGTCATCGGGTGTTTATCGCTTGTGTGATGTCCTGGTGGGGTAGAAAGTCAGTCAGTGAGTCTTCCTACTGACATTACCTCAGAGTTGTCATCGTTGAAGGGTTTTGGGTACCTAGCGCTTGACCTAAATATTATAGACCAATCGGTATTCGATGGGTGATGTAGTCAGCATCATGCCGGTCACCTTAACTTCCCATCACTACAGCTGGTACCATTTTCAAGGCTGGGTCGACGTGCAAGCTAAAATCATTTTTTTAAATGTGTATAAAAATAGATTTGGCACCTTCGGGCCCTGATGCCACCACCTTCTGAACCACGGGCGAGCACCTCGCTGTTACAGCTCCAATTTGCAGGCCCATTTGGATTAACAAGCTGTGCCTTAAACATTTCCCCCTCGCCTTATGTCTTTTGCTCTGTGGGTTTCAAAGTAGAGATTTTCCAGCTTCTTGCTTCAGTGTCATGTGTTTAATTCTCTCTCAAAACCCTTGATCTATGATTATGTATGTGAATATGTGTGCATACATGTATCTATATATACGTGTGTGTGTATGTGTGTGTGTATGTGTGAATCTTGATAACGACAAGTCACAAAGAGCTACAGGAATTGAGGTTTGAGGTTTGAGGTTTGAAAAAGGATCAACATCATGGCACACGAGTAGTAACCCATAAGTGCTCCGTTCTTTTTCTAACTAAAGTTTGAGTCCGAAGAAGTTTATCAGAGTGCACGTGCTCTGTAGCACCGGCGAGGATTCTGAATTTTTTCGGGTAGATTTTAAACTCCAAATTTTGCCTGGGCAGCGCCGTTAGTCTACTCTTTTCGATTTCCAACAGCCTAGGGAATTTTTACGTGACCAACAATACACACAGGCGTCTGATCTCACTACCCACAGATCAGAGGGAATTGAACCCATAACCTCTAGCTTTCGAGGCGGGCACCATGAACATATACAAATTAAGGCGGACACCATGCCTCGAGACCACGTAGCACTCCAGCTAGCGACAACAAGAATCAAGCGATTCGAAGAGGATAGAAAGTAAAATGAAGAACATGTTATGTAATAAATCCATGTTACTAGAGGTTAGCAGAAGAATTCTCGCATGCATTAATATAACCGGTTTTAACATATTCTAAATCCTTGTTGATTAATTTAAAAAACAAACAAAAAAACACCGAAGAATTGCTTGATGCCTCGGAGATGTGGTTCCAAAGGAGAATCATAACAATTTCTTGGACAGCTATTTAAAAAAAACACATCCATATTTATTTTTTTAAGAGGCGAGTGATCAAAGACATCAAAAACATAAGAAAGAGACTGTCGTGGTTGTTGGGTCATGTTAAGAGAGGAGGGAAATGGGAACGTCGTGTGACCATTAAAAATATCTGCGGAAAGAAAGACGGAGAAAGACAGTGCTAAAGTTTATTGACAGTGCGTTTGTTTGTTTTATCGTTTTAAGCATGGTGGTGGGGGGAGGGAGGGGAGAGGGTGGTGAACACACGAAATGATATACATAGTTGCGGATCGCAGATTGTGGAGAGGCATGATCGCCCACGCCAGCTGGCAAAGGCATTTCATCTTCTTCTTCTTCGTCACGTTTACTGGCTGTAAAGTTTTGGTTGTTTTTCCACCTCTAGAGATTAGTTTTTTTTTACAGAACCTGAGTGTTGCTTGCACATCCGTTTTACTTATCTGACTTGCCTGTCTTCAGATTGTTGGTTCCTTGCCTCTCCAGCAGATGCACTCTGACTTCGAAGCAAGTACCCAATTAGTCGACTCTTACGGCACGCTTGTTGTATAGGCAGTGGGTCTAGTCTTGTTTTCCCCACAATGGTATTCAGGAATCCAGATAGGGAGATAGTTTATAATACATATAGATATGTATGTACACACAAACACACACTCTCCCTTCCTCTCACCAACAAACACACATATAAACATATATATATACACACACTCTCTCTTTCTCTCACTAATACACACACACATTTACACACACATATTCTCCCTCTCTCACGAACATTCACACACCCATTCAAAGGGAAGATGCTCAGAGTGGTTTGTGTGTGTGTTCATTGCATTTTATTCATAGTAACACATTATTTCATTTCAACATATATTTATGTCAGCAACAACTACATTGTAACAATAGCCAACAAAGCGCTCTGCACCAAATTACACATACAAATACTTGTTTCGCCGCTCCCCTTGACTGTCCCCAATCCGCTGTTTCCAAACACAGTTTAAATTTCAGTCCACGCGATTTATGTAACGCGTGTTTTTAAATTTTAACTGGTTTTGTATAAAATCTTTCAAACATATTTAATGTAAACATAATTTTCTGCATTCTAATAATATTTAATTTAGAGATCTGCTGCGATCATGATGCTTCGACCCTCTATGTCAACTAAGAGTCAAAAGTTATTTTTGCCTAATTTATTACATTTTCTTCTCTTGATTTTTTAATAGAACAGATAGGGTAATTGAAACACATAACGTAAAGAGGAAGGGCTAAGGCCACCCCATGTTGGTGTCTATGTTATGTACAGGCCACACTGACACACGCAATATTTGCCATCGCACTGTACAGGGAATGTCCGAATGCAGGATTTTTTAAAGTAGAACAAGCAAAGCCGTTTTCCGTAAGTTATAATTTACAGTTTTTTTTTTAACTTGCAAAAGCTTTTTTGTTTTACATTTTACATCACAGGTCAAGGGGGGTAACAATTGCTTAGGCTAATACACATATACATGTTGGTTGTTGGCTTGTCGTTGGTAAGAGAAAACAATTATTTACTGAGTATTTATACAAATTGCAATAATTTACAACAAATCAAGCGAGCAATGTTCCATTTCATTAATGATATTTAAAAAAAAAAAAGAAGAAGAAAATTTAGTGAGCATTTAGTGAACAGGGATAATTTTTTCTTTAATCTTATCGAATTTTCATCTCAAAGAAGGAGAGAGATTCAGTAGTGCTTATGGTTGGCCAGATAACACCGTTTTCACCGTCTACGCCCCAGCGACCAAAGAGGCTCGACCCTGTGCAATCCTTGAACCAGAAGGCTCCGCCACGATCCCTGGCGCAGTTGCTGCGGGATTCATCGTTGTCTTGATCGTATGTGCTGAACTGACTCCCGTCGTTGTAGATAAGGCTGTCTCCGGCTGAGCCTCGGAAGTCAGAAACATGGAGCCTGTACTTGGAGGCTTCGTTGTCGATACCGAAACTGTATGTAGCGCTGTATGGTTTGCCATTTTTGTCCAGCATGTCGATTCTCAGTTCATTTCTACCCTGTAAATACAGAAAATATTACTTTGATGCGTGTGCCAGCTGCTGGATTTACCGACGGTCTCGATTTAAACCTTGGCTTGGGACACATATGGTTATTATGTGTGATTTTCACTGGCACAGAAACGGAGCGAATTTAGGATGATCCGTTTGCGTTTAAGTTGAAGCGCCGACTAGTAGCCCGATACAGCGCTCCAAGTGTTTTCAGTATGAACCAAAACATAATTTATAGTAATTATGTCGCCATTAGTCAGGGGAGATAGCAAAATATCAAGCGTACCATGAGCAATAACGAACAATGGATTACAAAGAAGGAACTGCAATTAAAGAAATTTGATTGACTCTCCAGTCCGTGGTAGTTTGAATCCAACAATGTATCTGCATATTTTGTGTTTTTTCCTAATTCTACGTTAACCAATTTTTACTTTCGTTTACGTCCGTCCACATACGAAATGTATTTTTTTTTTTTTAAATAATGATTATTGTTTTAAAGCCCCACCCAGGCTGTGGTTTGTGGTACTAATAAAACTTAGCGTTTGAAAAGAGTTTCTGAGACTTGCCCTTTGGGAATTCACATTCGATTGTTTGCACACCCTGTCACCATGTCCTAATCTCCAGCTGTGCAGTCTTGTTGTGATTGAAAGTCACTGCAGTCTAATATAGCTCACACACACACACACACACACACACACACACACACACACAGCTTTGGGACATACGGTGTTGCAGCAACCACATGGAAACTAGGAGGACAAAATAACAGAAGAATACAACAGGAAAACTCAAGAAATATAATGTAACCAAAGGAATGGATGGTGAGTTTTTTTGGTACCCAAAGAGTAAAGGAAACCGAAACATAAAAGAGAAACCTTAAGGCCCACGTTGTTAGGACTGACTACAGGCGCTGGGCCGAATACTATCCATGATATTGTTAGGATTGCACAGGATGGGCCAGAACCTGAGACCAGACTGTCAGGCTCTTGTTACGTATAACGGCACAACAAGATGGTCTTCCTGAACCATTAGAACAAAATGGAGGAAACAGCCGCAATTCCTGCATGAGATATACACGGAAGGAAGTATCTCAAAGATTTCCACTCGAAAAGGTTTCAAGGAAGACGTTAAAAGTGTGAGAAAAATAACAAAAGTCGTGCCTTTGTCTTGTAACCTATCAGTCATCATCATCATCATCTCCATAATCTGCGATCTCCTGCAGCATGTATCAGTTCGTGTGCCGACACCCATCCATGCCATACAACAAGACTGTCAAGAATCTTCTCTCGTTGTCTTCCTCTATCCCTCCTTCCACAGATCTTTTCAGTGGTCACAACATTTTCTATTTTCCCTCTTCTCATAACATGGCCGAAAAATGATGACTGTCTCCTTCTGATGTCTGTGATAAGTTGTTTTCGGGCTCCCGCCTCTTTCAAAAGCTCCTGTAAAACAACATCTCTGAAGCCTGAAGAAATTGTTTGGCCTGCCTACTGGTTGTCCAGGATTCACAGATATATGTTAAAACTGGATGTATGTAGCAAGCAAGAATTCTTTTTTTCTAACTCTCAATGACAAGGATATATTGCACAAGATGTTTTTCATTTTATAGAATGCAGTTTTTGCCTGTCCTATTCTGTTTTTTATCTCAGTTATGCATCTTCCATCTGATGTTATCCATGTGCCCAGATACTTAAATTTTATGTACTTGTCCTAAAATAATACCATCAACTTTTATTACACACTTAGGAATAATTCGTTTCTTTGATACCACCATTACTTCTGTCTTCCCATTATTCAAACTGAGGCCCATTCTTCCACTTTTCCACTTTCTAACACCTATCAGTATCGTTGTTGAATGTTGTTTTACTAATCGACCTAGTAGCATTCGGGGCACTTCCATAAGCGCTCCGTCGCTATCTTCAGCAGCAAGCGAAGAGGTCCAATTCCGATGGTACCGGTAACTGTTTTATTGAATATCTGTCTCGCCTTTTCCTTGAGTGCTGAGCGTCGGCTAGGTCTCCTGGTAACTACTCGCAATGCGATTCTTCTCAGAACGTAATGATCTATTTGTGCCTCGCACTCTTCACTCTGTCCTAAAGGGCCCTTACAACGTCTAACTTGTCATACAGCAATTTACTACCAAATGGTGCAGAGCCGGCCAGTCTCTCTGTCTCGTCGCATTCTAACACACCAGCACTTCGTTGTAAAGAATGTCAAGAGTGTTAAGCATGCGACATTACAGTGTAAACGAACGCAGTGACGTCGTAATAATTTTTTTAAAGACAGCCGCCCCATTTTTGACATGCTCCAAAAAGTAGCTGACTTTTTGTGGTACCCTAGCAAATCACGGATGATGTGGTGTGCTGAACACCAGCTGCAATAGATTTGTTGCACTGTTTGTTTTGCCTGTTGAATTCTTGTCTTTGCGCCTTAGAGGCGAGGAACCAACAGTCTGCATAAAAATAAGCTAGGTCTGTAAATCTGATGTTGACATATAACTCGAGTTCAGAGACAAAGCAGAATCAAAAAAGGGGTTGAGTGACCATAACTGTCTAAGGAGTTAACACTCGTTCATCGGAAAGAAGAAGAGGATAAAAACTGAACTTACTTGAGCTAATTTATATAGAGCGTCCAATCCGATAAAGAAATCCCCAGTCGACGGGTTACCAAAACCGTTCTTGTAGTCTGCCCACGGTCTGTTGAAGTCTTCGTTGCCGATAGTTCGACTCTGTAAAGACACAATAATATTTCATAGTACAGGCTCTCCTCGACTAACGACCCAGTTCTGTTTCGATTAAGAGGTTGTAAGTCGAATTGGTCGTAACTAGATCTTATGTTCTACAACATTGGTTTCACATACAAATTGAACCTAAAACCTCCTGTAAGGGACTCCGTGTTACATATGGCTAGTGCAGTTGCTACGTGTAGCCTAAATATAACTGCTTTCAAAGATTGAACCAGGTATTTAGTATCTACTTTGCTGCTCTGCCGTCTACGATGCGATTTGTTAATCTCAATAATGGTATGGTACACTTTGAAGTAGCAGCTTGCAGGGCTCATATAGTTCGATCGATCGATTGTTTATGAAACATAGTAAACAAAATTATGAGATGTTGCGTTCTACAGGCACCAGTTTCTTGTACTTTTGTTTAAACCTGCCAAAGTAGTTATTTGTATTTATTGATATTTTTTCGTCTACCTATGTTTATGGTCGTAAGTATGGAAGCTTGTAAGGTGTGATTGTCGTAAATGGTGATGGTCTAAGTGGCGATGGTCGTAACTGGGGATGGTCGTAGGTGGGGATGGTCGTAAGTGGTGATGGTCGTAAATGGGGATGGTCGTAAGTGGTTATGGTCGTAAGTGGTGATGGTCGTAAGTGGTGATGGTCGTAAGTGGTGATGGTCGTAACTGGGGATGGTCGTAAGTGGTGATGGTCGTAAGTGGTGATGGTCGTAACTGGGGATGGTCGTAAGTGGTGATGGTCGTAAGTGGTGATGGTCGTAACTGGGGATGGTCGTAACTGGGGATGGTCGTAAGTGGTGATGGTCGTAAGTGGTGATAGTCGTAACTGGGGATGGTCGTAAGTGCTGATGGTCGGAAGAGGTGATGGTCGTAACTGGGGATGGTCGTAAGTGGGGATGGTCGTTAGTGGGGATGGTCGTAAGTGGTGATGGTCGTAAGTGGGGATGGTCGTAAGTGGGGATAGTCTTAAGTGTCGATGATCGTAAGGTGGCATAGGCGTAAGTAGGGATAGTCGTAAGTTGCAGAGGTCGAAAGTCGAATATGTGGTGAACATTGAACATTAGAGCCGCGGGGCCGTAGCGACTAGACTATCGCCTGCTGGCCCGACGGTCGTGTATTCGAACCCCCATCGAGCCAATTCTTTCTCTTTTTTTCTTAACTAACTTTAGGTGCCGGATGTGAGCAACTTAAAATGGCTACCAGGTAAAATCCTGGCAAATGAAGGTAATCGGCTTGATGTTTACCACTTCTCCCACATACTGCCGTTTGGTCTACAAAGATAGCAGAATAACATCATATGCCCGATACGACACTGTTCTAGCAAGGGAATTACGATGGTTTGGTCATGTTTGCAGAATGAGAGGGAATCTGCCACCATGTAATACATCGATTTATAAAAACAAAAAAAAACAAAATCTATTTTAAAAAATAAAAAAAACACTTATCAACCACGTTCAGCCTATTGCGAGCAGTATCGGCTATAATTGTGATCTGGGTTCTTTGTGATAAGTAGGTTGGCTAGAAAGTGGTAATTGCATCAAGACAAGTGGCTTGAACCGGTACCCTAGTTCCTGGTGAGGGTTGCTGGGGAGGGGGCTGGTGTGGGAGACCAAGAACCAGGGAATCATACCTCCAGGGCGAGAAAGAGAAAGAAAGAAAGAGAAAGAAAGAGAAAGAGAGAAAGAGAGGGGAGAGAGAGGGGAAGAGAAAGAGAGAGAAACAGAGATTAGGAGAGAGAGAAAGAGAGACAGAGAGAGAAATGCTGAGAGAGAGAGAGAGAGAGAGAGAGAGAGAGAGAGAGAGAGAGAGAGAGAGAGAGAGAGAGAGAGAGAGAGAGAAACATGGAAAGCAGGAGGGCTAACTATAACAAGCTCTGTCATTTAATTATCAATATGTATAGATTCTTCCATAGACAAGGACGTAAAGGTTTGGAAGATGCAAAAGGATGATCATAACGATGATGATGTCAGTAATGTCTGTGTGAAGACAAAATCATTCACGCAGAAAAACGAGTTGAAAAAAAGCAAAACGGTATCACACTTCAAACAAGATAGTTTCATATGCTATGCAATAGTATCAGTAGTATTCGGCTTTTGTTGTTGTTGTTGTTATCGTTGTTATTGTTACACTTCTTCTTTTTCTTCTTCTTCTTTTCTTCTTCTTCTTGTTCTTCTTCTTGTTCTTCTTCTTGTTCTTCTTCTTCTTGTTGTTCTTCTTCTTCTTCTTCTTCTTCTTCTTCTTCTTCTTCTTCTTCTTCTTCTTCTTCTTCTTCTTCTTCTTCTTCTTCTTCTTCTTCTTCTTCTTTTGTTCTTCTTCTTTTTCATCTTCTTCTTCTTCATCTTCTTCTTCTTCTTCTTCTTCTTCTTCTTTTTCTTCTTCTTCTTCTTCTTCTTCTTCTTCTTCTTCTTCTTCTTCTTCTTCTTCTTCTTCTTCTTCTTCTTCTTCTTCTTCTTCTTCTTCTTCTTCTTCTTCTTCTTCTTCTTTTTCTTCTTCTATCTACTCCGGTTAGTTTCATCAGCATCCTTATCACTTATGCCTTCTTCTTCCTCCTCCCCACGTCGCTCCTTATTCTTTTTTCTCTACTGCTCCATCTACTACTACGCCACCATTACCAACACCACCGCCGCCACCACCGCCACCACCATCACCGGCGCCACTACTTCTGCCACCTCTACTACAACTACTTATACTTCTAATTCTCTACTTCTTTTACTGTTATTACTTAACTGCACTGTTAATACAATTACTTCTACTACAACTGTTACTGTCAGTACTACGAATAATACAAATTTTTTATAATACGAACACAACCGAACGTTTCGACCAAAGTCTTTATCAACGGAGTACTAAATACAGCACCAGAGAACTCTGTGACCAGAGAACTCAACGAAAAAGATAATAGAGCTAACGAAAAAAACTAAGGTCAACATGAAACACCGAAATTAGCACGCAGTGGAATACTATTAAGAATAATACGCATTAAGAATACTTTCCATGTCTCTTCTTCCTCTTCGGTTCCACCTTGTACCTCATCGAGGTGTCGGGGGGGGGGGGGGGGGAGAGATGTAGATATTAGTTGATGAGCTCTGTCAAGAGCACTATTAAGACTAATGTTCATTTCTGTACCGCTGTTCTTAATGCCATCACTCCATATTATCCAAAGTCTTCCACTCGCTCTATACCCGTTGTAGCGTTTTAGTGTGGCTCGCTGTGGCAGATAGTACCAGGACATTCTTGTTAGGTGTCCAAACCACTTCATTTGTTGTTCTTTGATGACCTGTAAGACTGGCTTTATTCCTAGCATTCGTCTGATTTCGTGATTTTGTATTCTGTCTTTCCCTTAAACTCCTGCAGCTCTTCTAAGGCATTTCATCTCCTTTTTCACAATGTTACGTTCATTGGAGGATGTAAGTGTCCACGTTTGGCATTGATAGCACAGTGTTGGCCGAAAAATAGTTCTGAAAAAAATTCACTTTAGTACTTCGAGGTATCTGCTTGTGTGTCAACAGGGTGATAGTTGCCCCATTACCTAACTAGCTTTGGCACATCTCGAGCTAATTTCCAGTTCTCCGACGGCTGTGAAAATTCCTGTCTCTACTACTACTAATATTACAACTATTACTGATACTATTACTACTACTATTACTGCAACTATTACTACTACTATTTCTGCTACTGTTACTGCAACTAATACTACAACTATTACTACTACTAACACTATTGTCTCAAATATTACTACATCTATTACTACAACCATTACTACTAGTATTACTGAAACTATTAATACAACTATTACTACAACTATTACTATATCTATTACTACAACTATTGCGACATCTATTACTGCAACTATTGCTACATCTTTTACTGCAACTATCACTACTGCTTTTACTGCAACTATTGCTACAACTATTACTACAACTATTACTGCAACTATTGCTACATCTATTACTACAACTATTACTACCTCTCTTAGTACTTATTAGGTGATAATATAATCGAATATGCCTACATATTAAAAAGAATATTGCAAATGAAGCAACACTCTACTAACACACGCAGTTAAACTACCAGGTATTACTGAGAAAGACCACACCAAAAAACTCACCGCAAAAACGGTATAGCCACCGCCGTCTGTCACGGTGTCACATATGGCAGAGTGCTCACCATCCAGGACCATTGCAGCTCTGGCTTTGTCGTGTGGCATGTTTCTCGTGCAGGAACTCAGCACCAGTGTCTGCAGTGGGAGCAACAAACGTTACAGTGTCTCTAGTGTATACCTCTGCGACAACACACCCTGTACAGTGTATTAGTGTTTTGTGGTATAGATAATTTAGAAATCGTAAGGTAGGACACATACTGGAGCCACCCAGGCCCCTTTTCCAGGTCCACCCCCTCAACCTAACCACACACACACACACACACACACACACACACACACACCCACACACTCCTACTCATATTTCTCCACACAAATATTTCTAAGACATTTGCCAAAGGGCTAAAGCACACCCCCCCCCCCTCTTCCTCCTCCCTCCCTTACCTCCTTGCCCCTGCCACACACAAACACACACAATCACACACATGCACCCTACAACACACTCACACTTTTCCACACATATTTCCTAAAATGTTGCCAAGGGACTGAAGTACACCCTACCCCCAACCCCCCCCCCCCCCCCCCCACCCTAGGCATTGATCCCCCTTTAATAAACTGACGCATTTTCGAACACAAATAGACTCTAGACGCATGCTACAGAACTGATGCACCCCTCCCCCGCCCGCTCCCCCCCCCCTTCCCCCCCCCTGTCCCCATTGTTTACAAGTTTTTCTATTTAGACGTGTATAGATGTGTACACTAGCTGTAGATATGGCAACACACTGATATAACCTGGACGACGGCACAGATGCTAATAAGACAAAAAAGAAGAAAAAGAGGAATAGAAGGAAGAGGAAGAAGAAGAAGAAGAAGAAGAAGAAGAAGAA